GATTTAAAAACCAACACAGATGGAACAGCACTAAGAAGTCTGTATGTAGATGCAAGTATATGCATGTGTATAAATGTATTAAACACTGTGTGTGACGGATCCTAAAATAATCATCCTTTGGGCCAAAACCATTTACATTCCTGACTGAAGATTTCTTGCATGTGCCTATCTTTACCTCTCTCTGCACGGTGCACACATGGGTGTATCTGTCCGTACAGCTGTGTCACACACTCCTGAGTGGGGGGACCAAACCTTGGATGTTTTTGAGCTGCTCAGAGGTGCCCAGGGAGCGGTGTATCTGTCCGTACAGCTGTGTCACACACTCCTGCGGGGAGGGGACCCGATTTTTGATGTTTTTGAGCTGCTCGGAGGTGCCCAGGGAGCGGTGCAGCCGCTAGAGGGGAGCGCGGCTCCGTGCCCAGCAGCGGCATTCAGGGGCTCTCGGGCACGGAGTTTTTGTTGCTAATACGCGTTTGTTTAATGTTTCGTTGCCAGGCCTGGCCTGTGTCCGTGGTAAGCCGGCAGAGGCAGGAGCAGGTTGTGCTTGGAGCTTTCCCTTTGCCCCAGCTGGAGAGCGGAGGGCACGGACGGGGATCCCGGTGGGAGCTGCTGCCCTCGCACCAGCTCCCCCTGCACAGGAGGGCAGGGGGGCCCCAAAACCCCTCCTGTCCCCTCGGCACCTGGCTCCAGAGACCTACAAGTGCTCCAGTGGAGTTCACAGGGAAACCTGCTGAGAACATGAAATCTGGTCAGGCAAAGTTTAACCCGTGCACATCCCCATCATTTCCATAATGCCAAGACAAGTATATGCACAATTAGCTTCACGAAGAGCCCATCCAATGATGCTTCTTTAAATGGTAAAGAAACTGCTAATTTGGTTTTTATGGAAAGGATAAAGGTTAAAATTGTATTCATTATCTGGATATATTTGGGAAAGAGCATTCCCTTGTGCAGTTATGATATTTATTCAGAAACAGTGGATAAAGTAAGCTTTACTTTAATCCAGTGGCCTCTGGATAGAGCTGGGACACCTGGTTTGTGTCCACTGTTGTTTTCATGTCCCGTACGTTTATTGGAGAGATGTGACAGCTTAGAAGAGTAAACCCACGTGGATGAAATCCTTTGCTTCCCTTGGGGCCAAGAGAAGGGCACTGAGCACAGAGATAGAGTAGTAAAAACAACAATACCTTTGCCATTTATTTCAGGGTAAATGTTACCATCTTCCCCTTTTTGTGGGATATTTTATTATGGCTGAGTATAGTGCCAAGTCCGTGGCACATGGATCCAAAAATGCTCAAAGTCTTGTCACCTTCCTCATTCCTCACAGCTTGCTTTACTGTATTTTTGGTGTATTGTTACCTATAGCTCCCCAAAGCTCTAAAACTGCCTTGAAAACTTTTGGGAATAGTCCACCTACAAACCAGTGAGTCACTTAGCAATGTTTCACTGATTTAAGTTAATCTGAGTAAACCTTCCATCCTGCTTTAAAACTTGTAATCTTTATGTTTTTCAAGGATTTGTGAGATGGAGAATCATGCTGATGGCTTTAAAGTATTTAAGTGCCTCAGCACTCTCAAAATCTCAGCTGAGCAGCAAAGCCAAGGGCCAGGCTCCAAGAACACCCTCCCTGCCCTCAGATCATACTGGAGATTTGTTTGTTTGTATAAATCAACTGGAAGGCTTCTTTATCTGAGCTCTGGCTGAGTCTGACCTCTGTGATGTAAAGTTTTCAAAGGGTCTGGCATATCCATGGGAGCTCAGAGTGCCCATGGTTCTGGGCTGGAGGGTCCCAGTCAGGAGCTGGCTGATGGGTGGGAGCCTCTCAGATGGGGTAAGGGACCGACAAACAGGGACTCCCACTCTCTCTGGTTGTGCAGTTCTAATCTATGGGTTCTAATCTGTGGGTTACATTCAGAGAAACAAAGGTACTGGGGAAATCTGCAAGATTGCTTAGGAGCTTCTGAGGAACCAGATGATATAAGAAAATCAGCTGGAAATCCCTTTTCTTAAGAAAAGAAAAGAAAAAAAAAAAAGGCAGGGGATTGCAGGTCAAAAGTGCAGTGTCATAATAGGCAGCAGTGTGTCCAGGAAGGGGAAAGTGAGGACAGCCTAGGATCAGCTCTTATAAAAGCAATGGGAGAGGGAATCCCCTGAGCTCCAATTTATATAAGGAAATTCCAGAAGGCAGGAAGCAAGCATTGTGGTCCAGCCACAGTGAGAAACAGGGCTTCTGTGGCTTTCTGTGGTCACCTAGGGTGACTTGACATTTTAAGTCACTCTAGGTGACCGTAGTCAGTGGATTTCATCCACATGAGTTTACTCTTTTAAGCTGTCACATCTCTCTAATAAACCCTGTCTCTCACTGATGGGGATTGAGGTGAACCACCCCAGGTAGAAGGGGAATGAAAACTCCACAGTCATGCAGGCCACATCCTGGCCTCTTGAGTCCAGCTGGAAATGTGCTACTTCTTCCACTTCCAGGGAGTCCCAGATATCATAATTTCTCTTTCCTGACAGTGCTTCAGAGTCATCATCAGGTGTCATGGTGGCTTTAAGCGTTCACCAACCACACTAGAAAACAACTTCTGAGTAACCAGGATATGGTAGAAATTCCAACCCCTGGCTTTGAGCAGGTGCTTCAAAGCCTGTGCTATGCACATCCTACCCCATCCTACTCATATCCACGCTAAACAACATGGACCATTTCTCTCTTTTCACTTATTTATCTTTGTGCCTTTTTATTGGGGTGATTTCTCTGCTGCTTGGTTACTTATTCGTGTTGGACTGTGAATAATTGGTTGGTTTCTTGCTTGTTTGGCATAATTGATCTCCTTCCTTGAAAAAAAGGAAGAACTGAGGTGGCTGTAGAGCAGGTTGTTTTTCATGACCTCATTTTCACTTGCTGTTTGAATTTAGTCTGCCACGAGGGCCAACTGGCCAGTGATTGTATCTGCACACACGTACACACACAGATACAATGAACTCTTTCACAGTCAGGCTTCACAAGTAAATGGAGGGTGCTTGTGTTCATACAGTTAGCTTGGATTTGTTCATACATGCTTTTGAATGCTGCCTGTAAGCTGCTTCATGACCTCAGATGTCACACAACATCCCTCTTACATCCGATAGTGAAGTACCAAGCTGCTGAAGCATCTCTGTGTGAAGTGGATTTCAGAGTCTTTGCAAAAGAGGTTTTTGCTGAAAAATTCCACAGAGGTATGCTCCAGTAAATATTACCTTTAGTTCAGATAAAAGTATGAAAGACTTCATTTAATAGTATTGCAGAAATCATGTAGTACTGAAAAATGCAGGAGTCCAAGAACTTGTTTACAGCAGGTTTTTTAGCAGGTTGAAAGTTTAAAACTATAAAAAAGTCATTGCACAGAAGTACTCCTGTATACATATTTTATAGTGCAAGAGTTCAAGAAAGATCAACACAAAGTTGATTATTTAAATATAAATGTCAATTTACGAGTGATATTGTAGCCAAGTCATACCAGTGTGGAAAGACAGGGTTTCTCTTGCTTACCACGTTTCTCCAAATTGCTCACAGTGAGTTGCAGGCATGCATAAGCAACACCCAACTTAAAAATTTTCAAGGCAGAGAGCAAAACACAAATTTCATAACTGAAAATCGGAAAGGTCCGGCCTGGGGAGTGAGAAATTACCTAGCTATAGGGTTAGCTGAGGACATAACTGCCAGGCACGCTCTCACACTAGTAAAATGCGTGTATGGAATAGAATGATTTCAATTTGCATATTTGGCGCTGTTTATTTTCTCGTTCCCTAAAGCATCGAGGATAGACATTTCATACCCGCCAAATGTCATAAAACTGGCTCCTGCCTTGCACTGGCATGCTGTAGAACACGTATTTTAAACCCTACCAGCAGCCTCCCTTCTGCTGTGTGAGTGCAATGCCAGCTGCCACCGGCCAGCCGGATCGTGCCCACTCGTGGAGCCGCTGCTGGGTGGGAGGAGGCTGGGGCAGCAGCTGGGGTAAGCACGTGCCCAGCCCAGAGCCAAGACAACATTGCTGTGAATTTATTTCAGTGTAGTGGCTGATCTGACTAAAGATATCTGCAGACACAGTCATGCAACTGCTATCCATGCTGGAGATACACACAGGGTGTGTATGTTTAATGCTTGTGAATCTGAGGGCTGTGGTCTCATGCTCTGCCCGGCCACTTGGGAACAGGAGATCACTGATAGTTAAAGTCATAGTGTAATGAGTGTGACGTGATAAGAAAATGTGGAGGAAACCTATATTCATTACATGAACAAATATGATAGAAACAAAGTTCATCTGACACCAGTTGCTCAAAAAGTTAGCTGTTTAAATCTAAGCTGCCAAAATTCAAGTTTATTTCATTCTAGAGTAGACTTATGTGCATCTGGATTCAGTTATCTGAATGTAGATCCTGTGTAATTTTAAATGCTTGTGAGACATACCACCTGCTGTTCCAAGAAACGTCAAATATTTTGCAAATTCAGCGTCATATGCAAGCCCCGTGCTACTGCCAAATGGCTTGAAGTACCTAAGTTCTCTAAAGTAGCACAAGAACCTACAAGTATTCTTTGAATACTTTGCACAATTTCAACACCATGACCTCATTGTCTTAATCCAAGGCTAAATCCTACTCCTGAAAATTCAGTGACATCCGTTCCAAATAAAACAGACTTCAAAGCTTCAGCTCTGCACTAATAGCTATCAGTATCACACGGGGTTAGTAGTGATGAAGGCTTTGGGCAGGAGTAACTTGTAGTAGCCTTGAACTAAGATGGAAGACAACTGATCTCATTATTCTTTGAAAATAAAAAGGTGTTAGATTTTTGCTTCCTTGAATGGCTAAGGAAAAAAAGAGCCTCATAACTCTTCAAATTTGGAAAGTAAAAAATATTGCTTTATTTATAATGATGAATGGAACAACACAGTATTCTCACACCTAATAAGATGTCATCAGTTACTGAATCCAATCTGGAAGCTGGAGATGTTCTGGAGTCCTCTCTGGAACTTGTTTTCATTCAATTTCATCCAGTAAGGAAGAAAGACCTGCAGGATCTCTTTGAGTCTTAAGTTTCTTTCTGAAGTATGGCAATTCGTGATTGATAGCAAAATGAAGGCTGAGATTTTTCCCTGGAAAAAAGAGCATCTATTGCTACAATCTCATGAATAATGGCCTCTCCAATGAAGGCATAAACCCTTGCCCACATGAGAAGTCCTCTCCTGCACAGCTGTGTCAGTAAAGAGCACTAGTGTGGATAAAGTTGGTTCTGAAGGGGATTTTTTCTTGTAAGGGGAACTTTACACTTTTGCTCAGGTCAGGGAAGCCCTTCTGTGTCTCCGCTCCATTGGTGTGGCATTTCACTACATGCAGTAGTAAGGTCTGGGTAATTGGGGGTTTCTCTGCATACTTGCTTTTCCAGGTTATTCATGAAGATATTAAATAAAACTAGTTCCACCATCTCTACCTGGGGATACTCCAGTATTTTCTCCATCCTATAACTGAAACTGAAGCCCTACTTTTTGCTTTCTGTCTTTTAACCAGCTCTCAAACTCTTAAGTAGTGCTTCTTCCAGAATAGTGGCATCTTGATAGTCTTTGATGCAGAAGAGCTTTTAGTTAATTTTTTCTGCGCTGCTTGTTGCGTTACCGTGGCATTCATAATATCATTTTTCATAGTACTGCCAGGTGATCAACTACCCCTAAAAGATTTTTAAATCTGTAAAGCTGCTGTGCTGTAAGAATTCAGTATGGTGCAGAACTGCCCAGGCACAACTCTCAGACACAGACATAGGCTTGGATTCCATCGGGAAGTACAAAGGAGAGGAGCACCTCGAGGTGTCCTGTTCCCCACATGTGCACATGAACATGGCTGCTGGGGGTCACCTCATTGCTTTGTGATGATTATATTTAGCTTGAGCTAAATATGGTTTAAGAAATTTAATTTGTTAATAAACATCATTAATAAACTTCTCACCGCCATATCACCATTGAATGCCACAGTTCATCCATTAAGTCTGTTCTGGATGTTGAAGGGAACCACACATGAAATAGACTTCATGGTGTCCATTCTGACACTTTTGCTTCTACTTCATCATTTGACCATTGGTAACTCCAATCCTTTGACATGAAAAGAGTCTTATGCCTTTACCCCTCATCCTTTATTTTCTTGGGTTTTATCAGGATGCTGTCAGGTAACTAATGGTGATTTTTGTGAAGCAGATGGTTTCTTAGGATGGACCCCATTTGTATACAAAAGCACTCACCCAGACCAGTCACCTGGGTGTAGCCAGACTCTAACAAAGTTCATTGTTTGTTCATTCAACCATATACACAGATGAAAGAGTATTTCACACTGGTTTTACCTTATTTGAGAGCACTTCATAGTCTGATATTGCCATTTTAATCTAGGCCATTTAGTCTATAGTAACTGATGTTATTGCTTATATGGAGTTAAACCTTTAACTAAAAAAACCCATATTTCTAGCTATGAGGTATAGGGTATGTATTTTTATTTTGCGTGGTGTGTTTAGTAGGTGGCAGTCTGCTCTTCCTCTCTAAATGTTCCTGAGTTATTGTCATGGTAAAACTACTCTTCTAATTCTGTAAAAGAGAGAAACAAAATGTAATTTTTACCTTGACAGAACTTTGGGATGGATGAAGTAATTTACTGAAGCATCTTTAAAAAAGGTTTCACCTTCGGACAGAAAATAGAAAAGAAAGATTTAGTCTGTTGCAAGATTCAGGGGTGTTAACCCCTATATACTTACGTACCTATGTAGACAAAATAATAAAAACCGAATATTTTCTGAGAAATCACCAGTGTGCTATATAATTGCTAACAATGCATCTGAGGATGCTGCATAGCCCCATTATACAAATGTCTGCAAGCTTCACAGTATTCAGTGTTTTTTCTCATACCATCCCTGCTAAGGAGAGAATGTGAACAGAGAGACAGAATGACATTCAAAGCACTGCTGGACAAAGACCATGGCCCTGCACTTGAACATCTGAGCTTGTTTCTGGGTTTGTCCCAGTACTCTGGCTGCTGTGGCTCAGCCCTGTGAGCTGTGCCCCTTTGCCCTCCCTGCTGCAGGGGGAGGAAGCATCCAGGAGGGGCTACATTCTCCTGACACCATCCGCAGCCCCCCAGACTGGTGTGTGCCCGCTCAGCCCTGCTCACACAGGTGTCAGCCTCAGCTAATTCTGAGCAGTGCCAGCTGGCCCACACAAAGCACAGGGACTGCCGAGCTCAGTCAGGCTGCTCAGTGTCCCTGGACTCTCCAGGTGACAGCGCTGTGCTCTGCACAGCCACCCTTCCTGCACTTGCAGGGGTGGTCAGGCTCTGTGGCTTATGCCTTGAGCCTGGCTGTGATACCTTGTGGGAGCTTGCTGGCACCTATCTTAAATCTAGGAAAATTTTGCAGCAAATTAGACCTGTCTATCACACAGTATTGAGTTCAGCACAGAAAAAAACCCCAGCTGTGATTTTCCAAATCACAGCTAAGGAAAACAGATAGTACTGCAAGACTATAGATGTTAATCAGAAAGGGGGAGATCTGGTTTAATATTCTTCTCACCTGGTGAGATTCAGATTGTCCTCCCAGGATATTGCACTCCTTGGCAGCCTACTGACAAGACTGTGGTGATGGTCATTTATTCTGCAGGCAGAATGTGAAACTGATGAGAGAACAGAAAGCAAAAAAGTGTCTAAATCTACAGGCTACTATTTATAGATACATTCTCAGCAAGGAGAAATCCTTGTTTCTGCTTCCTGCTTCCACACTGGTCTGTGTGCTTGATCCAGTGACCTATAATGAGGTAAATTCAACACACCTGGCAGGGGTTTTATGTTGTATGAGGCAGTCATGGCAAAGTGTGGAGAGCTGTGATGTTAATCAATAGTCACCATGGCTCCTAAATTGTTTCTCTCAGTCAGAGATCTCTAGATTGGAGATTGGTGTTAAATTACTGCTAATAGGTCCTTCCCAGATGGGAAGAATCTGGGAAGACATAAGTTAAGAGTGTTCAGACATAAGAATGGGGTGAGAACAAAGGGTTAGCACATGTAGGCTGGTGCTGAGAATGCTGGAAGAAGGAGCTACTCTTGCTGCTGGAGGAGGCACTGGACAAATAGGAAGGCAAAGCAAAGATGGAGCTGTGTCAGCCCAGGTGTTTGCAGAGGGAATGGCCTGTGCCAACATGAGGAACAGCACAGTGGGAACTGTTTCTTTAGGTAAGAAATGAGAACACTGACCTTGCAGATGTCTGAGGAGGCACCTAATCTTTGTTTTATCTTTCTTTTTTAATATATATAGCATTTTATTTGGGAGCTGCATATCTCAGGCTAGGTCATATAATGGTAGTGCTTCTGCTCTCTCCCCTCTGTGTTGGGTCATGTGAAAAGGGAAGGATCTGTCCATGATGCTGCTATCCCACCTCTGGAGTCTTCCAGCAGTTTCTTGGCATTCAGGATCTCGCTTCCAAGGCTGTTGCCCAGCTTCTGTTTGTCTCTGCACCCCACAGCCACTCTGAAATCATGCAAGAAGCTTTGTCCCTGTGTGCTGGAGGCACCAGGGGCAGGTGGGCTCTACACACAGGGTTTTCAGCCTGTAGAGCTGGATATGCCATGGGGCTGCATGAAACTGAACAGATTTCTCATCTCCAGATAGGAGAGTTTTCCTTGGGCCTGTCCACATTTCAGCATGGATAGAAGTCCTTCAAAACAGAAACTCATCTTGGAAAGACTCAAGAGGCTTCAGCAATCAAGGCAAGTGATGTTTAACATTAATTATGTCCCTGCCAAACCATACTCATGGTGCTACTCATGTATTCCATGATCTATTAAAAAATGGAGTCAGTGAAATCAGTCAGTGAATCAAATGGCTAGTGTCCTTCTCTGGTAGAAAACCAAACAAAAACATCCTGGCAAACATTATACATGAATCGTCTTCCCTTAGTTCAGAGAATAGTGCAGAATATGCTGGTGATTCTCTTTATATGGATAATATTGCTTGCTAAATTAGGAGATTTTAATAAAGGATTTTGACAGTATCTTGAGTTACAGTCAGCTGTCATTTATTATCTATGATCATAGCAACATGACAAGTTTTTCTTTGCATTCTAGACACTTTTAGAGGACATTAGAAACATATTTAAGTTGGGTGAGAGATATAGTACCTATGTATTATTGGTACCAATTGCTATTAAATCTAGGAATTAAGGGCAGAGATGTGCATGATGACTAGAAGCTCCTATCTCTACACTGCGAGTGATTGGTTAAAGAAAATTTAAGCCAATTTTCTCCTGGTTGATAGGCACCAAAATCTTCTTTTCAGTGACCACCAAAGCCTGAATGAGCAACATGATAATGGGTCATCCTGCCAGTTATTCAAACCATTCTAAATTTTAAAAAAAGTTGAAGCTGAAGTATAATTAAGCATTAGGACTTGACCTCAGATATCATTTATGTAAAGAATAAACAGAGTAGTTGGTGTAGAAAAGTTATATAAGCAGTGTTTTTCCTTACCACCACACTTGAAATTAGTTACAATATCTCAGCTAAAACACGTCAGACCAACTATTTTGACTCACTGATTTATAGAATAAACTTGATTGATATTTATTGTCTCAGGTGGCCAGCTATAATTGTTTCTTTGTACTACATTTCTTAACTAGTCAATTACAAAAAGTAGCTAAATTTCACAATTTGCAAATAGTTTTATACAAAAAAGCACTACATTTGCTATATTTGAGTAATGTTACCTCAGTTTTCAGAACTTACTAGGAAATTTGATTTCAATATCTACTTTTATGCTCCCTCTTTAAAAGTTGCTTCTGTAAAAAATATTGTGGAGCTAAATCGAGTTATCATAGAGAATCACAGTGCAGATAAGGAAAGGACCACAGTGGGTCATCTGAACCAACCTCCCCACTCAAGCAGGGTCATCCCAGAGCACATGGCACAGAATTGTGTCCAGATGGTTCTTGAATATCTCCAGTGAGGGAGACTCCAGTAGATTCAGCAGTGAGCAGTGAGTCAGTGAAGCAGTAAGTCAGACATAACAAAGTCAGCATTTAATTCCTGACTCTTGAGCTTTAACCTGCCTCTATTGAGGCAAGACAAAATTTTGCACTGGTGGACTGTCAGGAGAGCCCTAAGCCAGCTCTGAGTGATGGCTTTGCCCTCAGCTGCACTAGATGCAGAGGCTGACGTGGCCACAGCAGCAGTGAATTGCTGTGAGCACTGCTCTGAGCTGCACTAACTCTGCCTGCAGCCTGGTCTCAGGGCTGCAGAGCCAGCAGGGCTGGTGCTCTTGCCTGCGAGGATCAGCTACACAGCAGCTGTGTGCTGTGTCCTGATGGACTGCCAGCACAGCCTGGGCGCTCTGCTGGCCTCAGACCTTGCTGCTGCAAGTCTGCACAGCTCCACTTGCCCCTGGTTGTGGGCCAAAGAATGGACAAGAAAGAGAGATTTGCTGGGCTTTGTTTTGGTCTTTTTTTGCCAACGATCTTTGAAGGTTTTGTAGACAATGCTGCCTTAGCTTATGGAGAGTGGTGGTGAAAGACGTGCCCATGGCTCCAATACTGACTCGTCTATGTAGTGGTCATTCTTTAGCACACTAGCTATTCTCCTTTGCTTTACAATTTGGTTGGTCAGAGATTTTTAAAAATAGATATTCTTCATAACCACGGTGCATCAGAGGAGAGTCACCACCTTCCTTCTTTCAACCTTGAATGAATCACAGAGTTAATCTTGGACATCTAGAAAGCTGTATTTCTAAATATCAGACAGCTATATAAAACCTGTGTTCAGCTGTCATTGTGTCCTGATGGAGGTTGTGTGGCTTTGAAATGTTGAAAAATGCACTATTTGAAAATAAAAGCAAGTTATAACACACCAGACTGCAAGCATCTGTACTGTGAAGGCTGGATGCAAAGCTTAGAAAAGAATACAGAGTGGAATTGCATGCTGACAGATCTCAGGCATTTTTATTCAGTTGTTTCATTTAAGATGATTTAAGACCTCCATGAGCAATGCCAGCAGAATAAATAAATAAATGCAGACAGTCTATGAGGAGAATGATGAACAAATACTCACATATCACATTCCCTGGGGTCCCAGCTTGTCCTCCACCCTTGTGAGAGAGACTCATGGATTTCTGAAATGGTTTCAAAGTGAGGCACTGACTCCTGATGGTGTACAGATGTGACTTCCCTAAACACTTGCAAATGTGCCTATGTTCACACACCCAGATGTGCATGTTCCCATGCCTCTGTGATTAATCTATGGCCTGAGTGGTGAGACACTACATCTGTATGTAAGACATTTCTTCTGGTCTCTCCTCAGAGCTGGTAAATCCTTAACACCACTGAAGTAATTAAGAGAGTCCAATGCCTTCACACCTAGGGAAGAAGATGGAAGATGGGGATCTAAATATGAAGCACAGACTTGAAGCTGTTACTGCCTAAGGGTGTCCTAGTTGGGTATAACATTTTGGCTTAAACAAACCCACCTTCACAGTGATGGGTTGAAACTATCCCAGTTTCATATTATGAAACTTATCTCTCCCATGTTTTCCTCTACTGACAGTAATAAGCAATTAAACACAACCTACAATATCTGCTATCATCAAAACCAGTCACTGAGATGGGAGTCCATGCAGCACTAGTGTAAAGGGAAGGACACAAGCAGATCAGTAATCAGAAAGGATGGACCTTCCAGGTTTGCATTTCTTTCTTACCATTACAATATCCATTTCTTACCATTACAATGTCCATTAAGTTGGTAGTAATGTACAGTACAGCTTCAGGGCCAAAGAAAGAAGTGGTCTTTTAGATTGCAAGCTCTTGCAATGCTCATGTATCCTTCTGAAATAGGATACAGGAGAGCAAGTGCTTTATCTGAGCTTGTTAATTCACCTGGTCTAACGCATGAGTTAAAAACTCCAACAGTTTATTTTCTTAGTTAGGAATAAACCAAACCTAATCTTTGATGTTCTTGTTATGATCAAAGTAAGGTGTGACTGGTTGCTGTAGATTTTTAGGCTCTGTATTTTGGCCTCTTCTTATGTGTGTTCTGTGCTCCAAAACAGAAAAGCAGATGTAAACTTGTTGGGTCAGGGATCACATCTTCCATTTAGAATGTAGAACAGTGGCACCTATGAGACACACACTACAAAGTACAACTGTAACAATAGTTGACATTCCAGAAATTTAGCAGGAGTCAACCAGATTTACTTTTCCAGACATTTCCCTTCTCTTCCAGCTTTTTACTTTTGAAGTGCTTGAGTTAATCTCTGACCTAATGCCAAGATAATCCTGGGTTGATAAGAGAAATAATTTCTGGATTTGTGAGAAAGTTGTGTGGTAATTTATGAGAAATCTTTTAGAAATGGCCTCACCATACTTCTGCTCTTTGGCACTGTGAACGTAGAAGCTGTTTGTTTTCTCTACAGCAATCAGGGATACATGACTTTAATTTCAGTAACTTTCATGTAATCATTTCAGTTAATATATGAGAAAAAGACATTTCAGTCCCAGTGTGAAAATTGAGTTTTTCAATTTGTAAATTCATTTGGATAATCTGGGACTCACTCCCTTTTGTAAAAACTTATCAATCTGTCCCAGAGCCTAAAATGAATACACATCCAGTCAAATAAATT